TAAAGTTGCCGGTTGTTGTTTTCCTTTTTTTTTATTACCTTTCCGTGGGTATTTTGCTTTGCTAAAGGTATTTGTAACGCTATGTCTATAATATATTTCTTTATGCTCTAGCTAGATGTAAAAAAACAATTCTGTAACGTTTTTCTATAAGGTTTTAGAAATTAAAAGTTATCAGAAGAGATATTGGATTTATTTTAATTTGTACTGGAATATTTTATGAAGTTTCTGGAAGGGTATACAGGCTTTAAAGGTCTGCATTTAGATTGCTTTCTCGATTTTTGTTGTTGTCATCACACACTCACTCGAATGGTTCTGACCGCCATTTGCTGTTTGGACGCCGGACCGTTGGGTTGATTTGGCTTTTAGTTTTGTCCTCTGACCTCTCTCCCTACCTATCCCCCCGGGAATTTTCGCCTTTGTGCCATAAAAAGCGTTTCCTTTTGGCCCGAGTGAGTCCATGTACGAGTTCGAGGCGATGAGCGAGTAAGTTTTGCATAGTTTAGGGCTTTTAATTCTACGCATGTTGCTTGACAACTTTCCAACTCTCTATCGTCTGAGGTGCCTTATGCTCAGTCCTCGGCGTTAATATGATGAGCATTCTTTTGCCTCTGTTACCACCACCTCCCTCACTCCGTTGAGGTGGCGGAAAATTGCATTCCCGTGGGATATTTGCACGGAATCAATACAATATTGGGATCGAGTCGGAAAAGTAATTGCAAATGTTTGCAAAATTGCTATTTGATGACGGAAGTGCAATGCATTTCCCGCTTGCGCAGTCTGCACTGTCAATTTCCAGCTATATATACACCGTATATATCCCTCTGCTGATGTCGGAAAAGCGATGGCAGAGGAGTGGCACACCTTTAATGGACAGGTGTGCGTTGTTGAAGTCGAGCAGCTGGGTAAAGCATGCAACAGTTGAGTTTGGGGGAAAAAAATGCCCGATTTTACATTTAAAATCTGAAAATGTTTACTTATCAAAAATGAGTGCACATTTTCCTCTTATTTAATCACAATAAACAATGTAATGGTAGGAGAGAACTTCCTCTATATATATTGAATAATTAATTCAAGTATATAATATATCTTCTCCCAGTATTAAACCAATTATTTTTCTGTATTACCTTGAGAAATCCTTTCATGCAGACACTCATTTCTTGCCGCCAAAGGCACTTTCTTTTAAGGTGTCGCCATGCAAATAAAATGCACTTAAATTTCCATAATTGTCTGAAATGCTTTCACATTTCTTTAATCATTTCAAGAGGCGGTACGAGGCTGGATTAAAAGCTCCCGAGGTGAACCACTTACTGCATTTTCGCAGCACCATATGGTATACAATATATGTACGAATATATATATATTCAAGCGCATATTTATTTACCTGAATGGATGACCAGCGATTACACGAATCCCAGTCGCAGTCCGTGAGCGAACCGATGAATTTGCAAGTGCAACATTTCACTGTCACTTATGCATGTCCGCCTGTCATTTAAGTACAGCTTGACTCGGCACAGAATCTACGAATATATATGTATTTATATGTTATATATATGGACATCCATGTGTGCTTAATGCACGGCTATATGTTGTTTTATTAACGACAGCGAGACGGCCGACTTCCGCCACGTCCGACTGCTGATGGTTCCAGTGAATTAAATTGTAAAGATTTCTCTCGCACTCTTGCAAAAGGGGCCTTCGCTTTTGATTTTTTGATATGCCTCAGCCTTCGGAGCATTCAGTTCGCAATTTAAATTAATTCCCCAGCAGATTACAGACATTACACCGATATAATGTACACAACAATTAACGTTGTGCCAAGACAACGCAATAAGTTGCGAGTCACTTTACTGCCATCCTTCGAAACCAATAAGTGAGAATTCATGTGATGCATTACAGAAATTCTCATTCTTTTTGTAATTTCTTTACTGAACCAAGTTAAAGAGTAAAAAATCCCGAGTTTAAAGATGTATAAAAAACATTTTAATGATATTCTGTAGATTATTTTAACATTTAACTCGTTGAAAATAAACTCTTAGAACTCTAAGCAGCTAAGCTTTTATTGCATTTTTCGATTACCTCAAAGTCATGCCTCAAACGGAAAACTGAAGCTTGCTTAAATATTCAACAAGTAAAATATTGACTAAGCATTTTCCCCAGGAACCATCTGGTTCGACTGCTTAAGCCCCAGTCAGCCAGGACAAATAAATCTCGCGGATTCACCCGCCGTCACGAGGGGGAAAGCTTTCATTAAACTGACAACGGCGGGTGGAACAAAGCGCGAAACTTGGCTGGCATTGCGTAATTGACTTGCTGCTGGACCCCAGAATCTGCGATCCGATGGGATGGCTAAAAGTTACGTCCTTGTCATAGTTTTATTTGTGCCCGCCACACCAAGTCCAGAAGTGGCTTCAACTTGTGGCTTCACTCTGGTATTCAGTGCATCCAATTTGCCCTTTTTATACCCTTTGCAGGGTATTATCATTTTAGTTGGGAGTTTGTAAATATATAGAATATACATGCTTGACCAGCTTCTTAAGAAATCGAACGACTATATTATATAGCTGCAAAAGAAACGACGGCATGCTTAAGGTAGTTTCCGTTCTTAAAATAATATAATATTGTAATGACAGTAAATAAATAATAATACCCCTCTCTCCCGCTCTCGCTCTCTCTCTATCTCTCGGTATGACCAACTCTTATTATATCCATCACTCTCTGCATCTCTATAGGTATCCCTTTCTCGCTGCCGATCTCTTGCTCTCTCGCTCTCACTTTCTCTGTTCTCTTTGCTCGGGGACTATAAATAGAGGCACTTTCCACGCGCCGATCTCAGTCTGTCCGTGGGGTACCTAGTGTCTACATCTCTAGTGAAAGTGATGGTGATTAGCCTTCGATCACAAAAATATCAACTGACCAATGGAATATATTTGGAAAACCAGGAAGAAGTTTATTTCGATGAAGATGATGAGAAGCCTAATTGAAATCACCAAAAAGATGCGGTAAGTCAATGGCAATGACAATTATATCAACTATATAGAACTATTTGAGTAATCAATTGTGCTCGCTTTGCATTTATTTTATTTATTGAATTTAATGCATTTTCTATATTTTTAATTAATTCTAAAAAAAAAATGTCCCATTATTATTATGGCATTTTTTACTATAATTCTATATTTAATAAGAGACAGTCAAACAATGTACAATACATATAAATTAGTAATTAATTTAAGATACTTAGATGCCATAGAAACGACTTACCTGTTAGGGTATTTAAGATTTCCCGAAAGAAGCATTCTTTTCATCTATTTCCTTGACATTTTTTTCGGCGCTTACTTACGATAACTTTATGACGCTTATCGCTAAAAATGTGCTTGTATCTGGGCGCTCGCTGCGTATCTCTGTATCTCTGAATCTTTATTTCGCCAGCGAGTACATTCCGAGCGCGCCACATAAAAGTAAAGTGTAGCCAAGTTGATTCCGTCGAGGGAGGATGGCTTGGATGGCTGGATGGCTCTATGGTTGGGGTGCCAAGCAAGAATCCAGCTTTCCTTTCTAAGTAACTTATGCCATAATTTCTACCCGCTCGCCCCTCAGATCCACTGAAACCCGAAAACGCTGGCCGCACGGCCAGAGCGGCGTAATCGCAAAAAGGAGTCGTCTGGCAAATATTATTTTTTATATTTATTCGACTTTTTTTCGCCCTTGCTGCTTAATGTTTATTATGAATGTTACTCGTGAGCGTATTTAGTTAATTTTATTTCACACAAGAGAAGTCAGGAAAAAGGCGAGCTGCGAATGGCGAACGGCGAACGACTCCACCGAAATGCTTGCAACTTTTTTCCTCATCCCGGACGGGAGACTGGAGTGCCTTCTGAAAATTAAGTTAACGCCATCAACGCAGTGTTTTGGTCTACTACGAGCGTGTGTATCTGTGTATATCTCTGGCTGGGTAAATTAGAAGCCAGTAAACATGGCGAAAAAGGCAGCCGCTTATCTGCGTTAAGTAGATGAGAAAAGTTTGTGGCTCGGCGCGTTGATAAGTTGAATTACAAGCGCACATATTTCTTCCATGGGAATCCTCACGAGCTGGTAGGTTGGGGGGCCACTGAACTCTGCACCCAAAAAACCCACCTCCTTCCCATTACAAACACCCCCACTTCCTGGCAACTTCTCCCAATTGGTAGATAGACTCACGTCACCTAAGGCGAGCCGGGCATATGCATTAATTTGTTTATGCTCACTGAGCTTTTGGCTTTGTTAACAAGAGGAACTTCAATCTGCTTTCCTGCATTCGCAAAACACTCTCAGAAAATCGTACTGAAGAGTGGTGTGATTTTAGAGGAATTATTTCTTCGGAAAATATAATTATGTATTAAAAGTTTCAATATATTTGTGTTTTAAGACAGCTTCATGTAGTTTGGAGTCTCGTAAATAGCCGAGTAACTACAGTCTTAAGGGATACTTTGAAGCCAGCTCTCCTTAAAAAACATTTCTTAAATTAATACCTTCACTCTTCCTCTCTAATATTTCTAAAGTTTAGAAATGCAAAAGCAAGAGTTTGTTTCAAGTGCATACTTTTGGATCTTTTATAGCCAAGTAGCCCAGTGTCAGAGCCATTTCCCGAGGGGAAGTAAAAGTAGATGGTGAGACAGAGGACTGGCGAGGGACTGGCATTAAATTGGCGACACTGTTGCCCAAATCTGCGCTGCTTAAATGCAAACTGCTCAACTTTGTTGCACTTCTAGTGCAAGTGCCGCCCGTGGCACTTGTCGTCGCCCTCGCTTCTCCAGAATGACCTTCAAATGAGGTGTGGCCTCCACCCGCAGGTTTCATGGGCGGTGCCCGAAGGCAACAAACACGTTGCACAGCGACTTAATTAGATTTCGGTTTATGCCAGCTCGGCACACTTTATGCCAGGGCTTTAAAGTGACCATTAGGTTAAACGACATTCCCAAGCCCTTGAGATTGCGCCACCTCAAAGGGATGCAGATAGACGACTATTGGCGGCCACGCGAACCGTTTAATACTGCAATAACATACTAAGAGTACAATTTTATGTGAATATTTGTGGTGGAAAAGTATAGAATTTAGGGCATTCTGCTCTGCTGCAGGTAGAAAAGCGATTTCCGGGGCCTGGCAAGTAAACCGATTGCCTGAAATCCTCAAGATCAAAATTATTGGGCTCGTAGACGAACGGTTGTTGTGTAATATCTGGCGAAACAGTGCTTGCTTCTCGAGTCTCTGGCTGTTCCACTTTCAGAGACGGCGCTCTGAGTCCCAGAATTGCCCATATGTCCCGCTCCTCATCTTCCTCCTTCACCACCTCCTCCGATATGCCACTCTCTTCGCTGGAGCTCGATAATTTTGGCCTCACCTTGATGCACTCCATGCGACGCTCGTACTCATCCTCAATCCTCTGGACGATCGGATGACGCCGCTCTTTGATGACATTGCACAGTGCTTCCCCATGATGCATGTTTTCGTGTATATAGTTGTTGCGTCGCACAATCATTTCCACCTCGAACTCTTGCAAATCGCTCAAGTCACACTCGCGGCAGTCCATATAGAGGACCTTTGTGGGAGTTCAAATTGTTTTATCAGAGTTTTTAAGTAACTAGCTAGCTTACCCTTTGGTTGCGCTCTAGACTTTTCAGTATAAAGTCTCCCTGAATAGCTCCGATATGGTTTGCAGCCATTTCCAGGCTTATTAGCGGCTTGTGTCTTCGCAGTAGCTTCGCAATTCCACGACCCAATACGCCCCTGGTATTTTCCAGTCCGGAGATATTCAAGGCCAGCACATGCCGTGTGCCGATCAACTCCGAAACGAAAGACTCTATGGCCTGCTCGTTGATTGGGTTGTGAGCCAGGCCCAGGTATTCCAGCACCCCAACATGTTCATCGTTCAAGGCCTTGCCCAATATTAGGGCCGTTTTGGGACCCAAACGATTGTATTCCAACTGAAGGATGCGATACATTCTGGGTCGTTGCAGTAGATAGGCCAGGGCATCGCTGCATTCATCTGGCATTTGGTTATAGCCGAAGTCCACCTCCTCCAGGGTTTCCATGTTCTTCAGGGTGCGGGCCAAAATGCGCAATTTCCTGGGGTCCATGTGCGCGTTCCTTAGCCTAAAGGTTTTCAGGTGTACCAATTCGGCCAGTCCCTTACCCAGGCGTACTATATCGCTATCTGAGAACTTCAAGTAGCGGCTATCGAAGGGTCGAAATAGTTAAGATAAATCTAGTTTCTAGTTTAGTTTAGGTGCCACTAACCAGTGAAAGTCCTTGACATTATCCGGACCCAAGAACTCCAAGGTGAACGAGACCAAATTCCCTAAGTGACGGACAAAGGACAGATCGATGTGGTGGCAATGTTGTTCCGGATAATCGTAGCGCATAATGCGATGCAGTAAAAGCTGCTTATTGCGCATATCGGGTTTCGTATCCTCATCATCCGAAGGCTCCCGGTCCACTGGTATAGTAAACACATCCTGAATAGGCTTCTCCTTTTTCTTAATTTGTTTCTTCTTGACTTCCTTGACTTTCCTGGCCTCTCGCTTCGCCCGAAGCTTCTCCTTGCGCTCCAGATGCTCTGCTCGCTTCTTTTGCAGGACGTTGCGAGCCTGCTGCCGGATGGCATTGCGCTGATGTCGGGCAATTCGTTGCTCATTGTTCTCTACATCACCTTCAGACTTGTGCCAGAACTGAATTCCGATATCGGATTTATAATAATCCTCCTCTTCGCCCTCATCCTCGCCCATGTCCGTATCGGGCTCGTCGCTGGAGATTTCCTCCTCTTCCGAGGTCGAGGAGGTTATGTCCTGGTCGGGCTCACTTTCAAAGTGTTTCTGAAACGAGCTATCGGGCAAAGCTTGCAGCCTGCGGATGTGTATGGAGCTCACTTGCTCCCACACAGTTTGCGCCACGGCGGCAAGGTTCTTTTCTGGTATGACGCTCACCGGACAGTTTTCCACCAGTTCCACAAGCTTCCGGCTCACGCCCTCTGACTTCCAATCGAACTCGTTCCAGCGTTTCAGGTGCAGCGTCTTGTCCAGTGTTTTGGTTAACACCACGCGTCGCCAATACCGTAGATCATCGATCAAATAACATTCCCTATTGGCAAAGGTTGAGTTACAGGTACTCAGTTCATTTATTAAACCTACCGTAGAGGAAGCTCCACATCCAAAGCGTCGAAGAAGACCCTCATCAGTTCTGGTTTCTCGACAAGAGCGGGTGAAATGCCTCGAATGCCCTGCTTGGCCAGGCTCTTGACGCACAGATTTTCCAATGTGTCCAGTTCGCCTTCGATGAAGGCCTCGGAAAAAATTTCACGATTCCGCTCGCTATACAGACCCTGGGTTTGCAATGAGGGTTTGTAGAGTTCGTATGAGGCCAGCAGGATGGGATCACTGGGCACCCGACACTTCCGGGCATAGTGCGGTAGCTCCACTTGAACATCATCTTCAAAGTCCATGTTGTTTTTGTAAGTATTTCTTTGTAGAGAATTGAATTGAAGTTCATTACTGAGAGTAATCGATGATGATTTTTAACTCCTCCATTTTCTCTGTAGCAATCATTTTACATTTTATACAAAGCAATTATTTAAATAAATCTTCAAGCTAAGCTATTTTTAATTTTCCAGTTTCAGGCGTAAGAAGTGTTTTCAAAGGTTAATTCGAGAAAAGCTTGCCCTGATATTTCTCCACTTAGGGCACACTTTAAGCATTGGCTAATATTGGCTGCTCATGTCTGCCAAGCACTTGCCAGGCACTCGAAGCAAATTTAAATTAAGCTAACCTAATTGAGAAGCGGAGAAGCAGTTTCTTTTTGTGGCCAGGACTGCCACCGTCTCCACCTCCGCTTGCCACAATGTCCCGGCGCTTTGTTTTGATGGCAGAGCTGCCTGGGGCCTCACCTTGCCGGCTATTTTTCTACCTAATGAAATAAAAATAGATGCTGTAGAGAGCTGCGCGTCGAGTGCGCCTCGCTTTGCTTTTCCGTGTGCTTTTGTGCTTAGATCGGTGATTGCCCCTCAGTCCCGTGAGGACCTTCCTGCAGATACCGCAAGGCTGCCTCAACAGGAACACTATGCATTTCATAAGAGTTATGAGAGTCTTGGCGTTAAAAAAACCTTTTATTAATAACAATGGAAAAATGTTATTCATTTTACTCGTATAAAACTTTAATTCACTTTACACATTTACTCCCTTCATCAATGGGAAGAGACCTTCTTTCATTTCGCTCTGTGTAGATCTAGAAAAGCTTTGGCTCTTGCGAATCAGTTCAGGGTCGATTTTCCTTTCAGTTGAAGCTTTGGAGCACCTTGTCCCCAACTCCCAATACAAATTAAGTGCATGCCAAAATGGAATTCGGTTCTCAACCCACTCCTCCCGACCCACTGCTTCTTATCCCTCCCTGACAACGACAACTGCATTGCTAAGTGGAATTTCGGCCATGACTTTTGCTTTCCCTTCGTCAATCACCTTTTTATCTGGAAGGACATTACCAAGCCAGCTCAACTTGGATTCGGTCTTACCAACTTGTCCTTCCTTGCATGTCCTCCTTCTTCTGCTCCTGCTTGAGCATGTGCGAGTGGGGGAGTGTGTTGTGCTGTGTGCCAAAATTTATTACAACCTTTGGGAATTCTTTTAAGTAGTTGCTCGATTCAAAATAATTTTCCATTTATCACTGTGATAACAAAACAGTTCTGCTCTCCCTACCGCAGGCCAGCGCGAAAATGGCAAAATAACATCAGGAGCAGTGAACATTATGAGTGGGTTGCAAAGAGTGCTGGTCCTTCTTGGGAAGGACACAGTGCAGGACGTGGGGCGTGGCAATGGCTTGGCCAAAATAAAGTGCTCTTTCCCAAATCTTGCTATCGTTGTAGCCGCCCTGGGAGTTGAGCCGAAGTCTTCGGCGGTCGTTAGGGAGACGGAGTCGCTGGACGACGAGGACGACTAATGATAAATGCCGGGCAGCAGGTGATTTAAAATAATTTCGGTCAGCGCGTGAAAAATATTTGTTGTTGGTGGCACAGCCACCGACGCCGCAGTTGTTTTCAAATTTTTGAAATTTACGACCTGCCGTTCGTCTCGTTGGAAAGTTCTGCTGCCGGACTGGCCTCCAGGCGAAAAGGCCAAAAAGTTGGTGCAATTGCTTAAAAGATATGTTTGTTGGCAACAACACTCGCCCAAGGGATGGTGGAAACCGGAAATGGAGCTGTTTAAGGCAAAGAAAGGAGAAGAAGAATGAAAAAACCTGGAACTTTCAGACGCGACAAGTCCACCAATTTTCTCCTGGAATGGCATGGATGCCACAAAAGAGTTTAGCCGAAAACTTTGCTTTTGCATTTGCCGCATCCACGTTTTGTCGTCGGGCCGGTCAGCATTTTCTAAGGATTTTTGGTTTGTTGACTTTACAAAGCCGCTCGCTTGTCAGAGGCAGACGTTCTCGTCCACACAGGTTGTATATGTATGTATGTTCCAGGTGTGCGAGGACTGGTTGCAGGTAGGCCACGGCCAGTCGCCATGCATCTTTCATGGCTGCGGCTCGAAACTTTCATTTGTGTTCGAACCAACTTTGATGAACTAAACTGGCCAGGAATGCGGTATACACTGAGCAAAAGGGTTTTATACTCTTCATTTTTCAGTTGTTTATCAAAAGCTCAAGATTTTCCTCTCTAAGTTCAGTGTAGTCCAAACTTCGTAGCAAACTGCAGCGAGAATTATGTACTCGGACCATTGAGCAGCGCGTGTTGCGTCATTAAGCACTCCTGCACAGAAACACACACACACAGAGAAACTCCAAGGAGTGGAGTCCTGTCAGGTCCTTTTGCCCATCCGAACAGTACCGGGCAAATGCATTTGCATAATTTACAAAGTTTCCATGCATATTGGTCAAGTTTCTTACTTTGTGCCCTATTTTCGGGGGCTTGCCGCTGCATGTTTATTAAGCCATCAATTATAAAGGCGGCAGGCAGCAGGAAGCAAGAGTTTCATTGATTTTTAATGCCGCAACTCACACACAAAGTCCAAGTCCATTGTCTAGTGTCTCGTGTCTCCTGTCTCCTGTCTACTTGGATCTGCTGGACTTCAAATATTTGCTAAGGCCTAGTGCTGCTGCTCTTGAAACGTGGCTTTATCGAGTGAGGATATTGGTTTAATGCAGCATTGAGTCGAGTGCTCGATAAATAGCTCGAAAGCCCAGCGAATCTTGTCTCGCATCGCTGTAACCGATAGCCCATGTTGAGGCCTTTGTTTACCTAGCTCCTTCGAAAAAAAACTCTTTATTTTGGCCATATTTTGCCGTGTTTAACCAGCTTTCTATGCAGATTGGTTCGGCGGTCTGTGGGGAGACCCTTCGACAAGACCTTCGCATAAAATCTAACGACATTGGAGACGTTCGATAGTTGCTGTCGGCAGCATTTACATACTTTTCGGTAGGAATTAAAATTCAAACAAAAAAAAAAAAAACAAAAGGACAAGCGAAAAGAATCCTTGGAAAATGGCAAAAGTTTAGCATAAACTTTTGGCGCTCTACATGCAAAACTTACAATTGGCAGTGGCCAAAGTGAACATGTTTTCCAGCCTGGGACTGTGCAGAAGCAGCAGCAAAGTTTCCGTAAGCCGATAGGGTTCTTTGTTTTAACGACTTAGCTTGTGGTCGGTCGAGGCTTTAGCCGCGTCGGGACTTTACCCATTCTCGCTCGTCATTCCAAATCCGATGATGTCTGATGCACCACCAGAGAAATCTCTCCCAAAAGGACAATTGAAATGTAAGCCCCAAATAATAAATAAATATAAAAGACCATTAGCAGGGATAATGTAATAACAGTGGGAAGGGTACCTACCTTTCATAATTTTGTAAAAAAGTGCATTTTTTTGAACACCTGTCTTTTATCCCTGTAATTTGCAGTTATTATCCACAACATTGAGTTATTTTACTAAAATTGCATCGATTAAAAAGTAGATCGACTTTTGTTTAATAACACAACCGTAATTAGCAACTAATAATGATAATTTCTCTGGGATTTGCACACACGGCGGTGTCCTATATAAGGGGCAAGTCTTGACATTTACGTCTCACTAAAGTTACTTAAACATGAAGACTTCGGTGGCAGTGAATCCATCCATTCGCTTTCGCGAACTCACCAAGGAAATTAACAGTTTAACCAATTTTTTAGGTGTTGATGTTATGGCGCCTATTTTGAAGTTTAATTATCGCACCGGGACCACGATCTTTGCGATTGTTAGTTATACGGCCTTTGCTGTATTTTCCGTAGTCAATAATGGCGGCGATTTGGTTGAAAGCCTAAAGGCCAGCTCAATGTTAGGTGGCCTGTTTCATGGGCTTGGAAAGTTCCTAACGTGTTTGTTGAAGCAGAAGAACATGAGGAATCTCACTCTTTTTACAAGGAGCATCTACGAGGAGTATGAGGAAAGGGGAATGTCGTATCGTACAGCTCTGAACACAAACATTGATAAGCTAATCAGCTTAATACGAGTTATTCGCAATGGATATTTTATTACCTTTTTTATAATGACTTTTCTGCCCCTGGCAAGGCTTTTTTACGACGGAACCAGGGTCACAGCGATGCAGTACGTAATCCCTGGTGTTCCGCTGGAAAGTAATATTGGATACACAGTCACCTATTTCGTTCAATTGGTAAGGATGCTTAGGAAAAATACAGAGAAAGTATTTAAAATGTACCTTACTATTGATTCTGTTTCATTTAAGTAGATATATACTCTTTATACTACAGATCTCAATGGTCGTTACTGCCGTTGGATTTTATGGTGGAGACTTGTTTGTCTTTCTCGGATTAACTCAGATCCTGACATTTGCCGATTTGATGCAGATTAAAATAGACGAGCTTAATGAGTCCCTGGAAGAAAAAGCACAATCTAGAGCTCTGTTACCAGTGGGTTTTCAGATTAAAGGGGAAGAGAAGCGACATCATTTGCTATTAGAAATTATAAAATGGCATCAACTATTTACCGAGTATGAAGTTATTTTCGTTTACTTAATAATTCATTATTATTTAACAAATTAAATTCCTTTTTTAAGCTACTGTCGCACTGTAAACGCCATATACCATGAATTGATTGCCACTCAGGTTTTAACCATGGGAATATCAATGATGATCAGTTTCAGCATTAATTTGTCTGGCTTTAACCTATCCCTGGCCATCTTCTTTGTAATATCAGCCTACAGCATGTCCATCTACTGCTTTCTGGGGACCAAACTTGAATTTGGAGTGCGTTTCAGTTAATCACAATGTGTTTCTTGTGCATTTATTAACTTCTTAATCTTTTAACAGTATGATCAGATCTACGAGAGCATCTGTAATGTGGCTTGGTATGAGTTGAATGCCGATCAGAGGAAGCTCTTTGGCGTAATGCTGCGGGAGTCTCAGCATCCACCAACTATTAAGATACTTGGTATTATGTCGCTATCTGTTAAGACGGCTTTGCAGATTGTTAAACTCATGTATAGTGTATCCATGATGATGATGAATCGTTCTTAAAAAAGTCACATATTAGATTGAAAGTCTCTATCTTGCCTAGTCACTGCACCTTAGCTTAAAATATGATCATGAAATGTTCTTGAAGTTCTTGAATTAAAAATATTAGCTTCGTTACCTTAGAGCAACAAAGAAATCAGGCTACATCCCACTTTGCTGTCACTATAGTTTACCTCTAAGGAAAGTTTATTCATAAAAATCATAAAACGAACACAGATATCTAATGTCGAATAGAGAAAGGGTGACTCGTCGACAAACACTGGAAGATGGCAGTGTAGCAGGTGGACTGGGCATTGGCGGAGGCCTTGAAGATACTCTCCCAGATGAAGACCTACAGCGGATGCAGTTAATGGTGGAGGAACGTTCTCATGTTCTCCCAAATGCAGCTACAAGACAAATTCGTTGGCATCGCCGTCGGTCTCCGGTTCGTGGAATAGGCGGATAAGCATCTCAAGGTCTTCTGGCATCCGGTCAAGCTGGCCCTCTTACCATGACAGCCTTTATGAAAGGTCGAGAGTCGTACCTGATTAGTTTCTAAATTTTTCTTTTGCAAGAATATTGTATTTGGATATGATTATGACCGGTGAAGAAGGCTCGGAACATAATGAACTGAAATTTGGATCGGAAATGTCGAAAATATAATAACATACCTGTATTATATTTCCATAATACAATGGGGCGATAGAAGCTGCTTGGGAAACTGCAATGTTGTAGTTAATTTTAATCGCTGCACACACACATTCGCTCAGGTACATGCATACATGCAAAACCAAGAGAGAGACACATGTGGCGCATCTTTTTTTCATCATCAAACCTGATGCAATATAATCTCCTTAGCCGCAACGCATTTGAAATGTCATGCTCGTTGTCCCCATTGCTGTTTTGTTCGGGACTCCACTGATGAGGGTCGCAGAATAGCAGCTGACGCACAACGAGGACGCGAACGAGGACACAGGAGGCACTAAAAGCACAATTGTGGTCAGAATGATAGGATCTAGAAAGCAATATAAGGTTAGGTAATTAAAAATGGCTTAGAACCTTTAGGGAAAATAACTAGGTATAGATATATGTATTCTTAATATAAATTCAATGATTTATTGCAGCATTATCTTGGTTTTATATTAGGAAACTGTTCTTATTTTATAATATATATAAGTATACTAATATACTATAATAACATTTAATATAATATATATCTGGACGCATCTACTTAATTGCTAAATTTATTTAATTAATTTATGTTAAAGCATTAAAACAACCCAAAGAATATCTAGATTAACTATAGCTTGTATATACATTTAAAAATAGTTCAAAATATTACTTCACCGACTTTTATAATATCGGAAATACGAGATTCTTATACAGAGGTAGCCATCTTTGCTGCCATTTCCTCAGCCTCATCTGTTAATGCAAGGATGTGTGTGTTTGTGAGTGGGACTGTTTGAGTAAGAACAGCAGTGTGTGTGTGTGTGGTTGGTGCTTTCAATTAAAATTTCAACGTGCACGTAACAACTTTTATTGAAATTACGATTGCAGGCAGGTGCGCACACAGCCAGAGAAGTGGCAAGAGAAATGTAGAGAAGGGAGAGAGAGACAGAAACAGAGAGAGAGAGTGAAATGGAGACACACACTCTCGGCGTCCAGTGGCATTGCATACTTTATAGCATACTTTTGAGCGTTGGGCAGGTGACATAGGCATGCCATACGGGCCTGCATTTGTAGAACATGGCTCTAATGAAGCCCGAATTGCGCTGGCACAATCGCTCTGGCATTCAAAAGACGATATAGCAACAAGCACACTGTCAGAAATGAATTCTATCCATTTAATATAACAATATTAATTAATATTTAATAATAAATAAAAGTCCTAGGCTAATCTCTTTTAGGTTTTTATTTACTATACACCCTTTTCTCTATTTAATTTCCCCCTTAAAGTCCCTGTTTTTCAGAGTGCATTTTGTCTTTACATGAGCATCGTTTTGCACTCAAAAGCATTATCAGAAACAATTAATTATGCGGATATTTGATTAATGTGGTTGGTTGGTTGCACCACACCGGGACACTGGGCAGTCAGAGGTTTCAAGTGGCAAGAGTACAATGGAAAGTGTGAATGCGAAGGCCAATCCACAGAATACGAACTTCAACTGTCACAATAAAACTTGCCATTCTTCTTGCTTCCTATTCATGTATTCACATAATCCAAGATGAAAAATAGATTTTACCGAAAAATTTCACTGCGCAAAATGCTGACAAGGACATTCCGTTGGGGCTGGTGCTGGTCCTGGTGGTGCTGCTGTCTGTCGGCGGTGGCTGGGCTGTTACATCAGCTAAATGGTTAAGCGCACTAGTTGAAGTCGAGTGGGTAGCACAAAAAAACAAAAAAAAACTGCTACAAATTTTATTAAAAAAAAAAACAAGAAAAAAGGACTGCAGACCGGCGACTGCTCTAAATGCTCCTGAAATTGCTGTTGGTTTTTGCTTCCCCAGAAACCCCTTTTCACTCAATGCCTCCCCCTTCGGTATCCTCGCATTGCTCTTTCTGGGCCGAGTGACTTTGCTACATGACAATGAAAATCTGCATTGCTTTTATTTGGTTGCCGGTTTCCAAATGCTCTTTCAATTTCAAGCATATCTATGTCGTCGATCGTTTTGAGCAAAGGAATCTATTTTTTAAGGGGGATTTCTATCATTATTTTTATGAAGAGTTCTAACATTTTTGCTATTATAATTTCCTTGCCACTGAATATAAAAATGACAAGTACAAATATTTCCTTTACTCTTCAAGAATATGAAAAAACCCATGAAAAGTTAATAACTTTATTTAAGAAGCAAATAAAAGATTTAACTGCATATAAATGCAGAGAAATACAATAAAAATACTTTAACGTGGTGCTTAGAAGCACGTCTTCAAAGAGTAGTTTAAAATACTCGAATATTTTTTATTTCTTAATAATTTAAAGTTAAATCCTTTTTAATATCAGTAAGTGCATTTGTTATATGACCAAAACTACAAGTCGATTTCATGGCCTTGTTTTTGTCGGTTTTTGGCGCTTCGCTTCGGAAATTGTCATTTTAGTATTCTGTGTTCGGCATTTCCCAGTTCTGCTGATTTTCTGCTGTTTCTGCACTTTTCCAGCTTCGTTTTTCATTCGTTTTTTTCCCCCAGTTTTATTTTTTGGTTTTTTATTTATTTCTTTTTTTTTTTTTTTTTTTTTGTATTTGGCGATGCCAACACCCACCGCCCTATGGCCCACCAATCGGTCCATTTGGTTGACATTGCTGAATTAAACCAATCACTACTATTTTCACACTTAACTTGCAATTTGCATAAAATATTACCCAAGACCCAACAGTCAAGCAGCCGTCGTCGTCGTCGAGGTTGGTGGGGTGGAAAGCCGTGTGGCAAAGTGGGTTTCAAGGTGGGTGGCAGCCTTCAACTGAGATCGAAATGGATAGAGAGAGAGAGAGAGGGGGGCGAAACCGAGGACCAAGGACCAAGGACCAAGGACCGAGGACCAAGGGTCCTCGCAAATACGCAACCATTGACAGTTGCGTGTGAATTTATTTTATTCCTTTATGTATATTTTACGTTCGCACACACACGCGCATTTGCATTGAAAGTGTATTTCTTGCATTTCCCCATACAGAGTGGCAAAATATGTGTTGCCCACTTTTTGTTCGCCTTCAGATATTCCTCTTTCCTTTTTTGACAATCAAAAGATATGAGTTTACAGTCGATACTATGTAATATAAGCAGTGAACTGTGGAAAATTATTAATTAATATGTGGAAATTGAATTCATAATTCAATAGTTTTAAGCACCATTTTAGCCTTTAGACAGGTTTTCTGAAGGCTTTGGAATTGTCTTCTTTCTAGGCTTTATAATCTACTAAATAATATGATATTTAACCAAGATTAAAGTTCAACAGACTTTCCCGTATGATATTTTTGGTTAAATCGAGTATGAGGCGTGTGCACTCATTAGTGCAAATGTTGCCTAAAACTAAAAACCTGGAACTGTAAAACTAAAAACTTAACTAAACTAAAACTAAAACTAACTCGAAACAAAGCATCACGCTACATTTAACAAATGGGTTAGACCCAGTTGCAAAAAGAAGAAAGGCTTTAATGGGTCGGAGGTAGCGTGAGTCCCGACACAAAGGTCCTTTGAGGAGTGTATGTGTGTGTTCGCGCGCAGGACATTAAATGCCCGTTTTTCCCCGCTTTGCACATGTCCGAAACAGAGAGTCCGGGAACCGTCTTCACGGACCGCCCGTTCCGTTCCTCCCCTCTTTTACGGAAGTTGTTTTGTGGCTCCTGTGTGCCTTCCTGCGTGCTTCTGTCGTAGACAAAGGTAAAGTGCGTACGCTGTGCCATTCTGCTGGCAAACGGATTCCGGAAATTTGCATTTGATGTCCGCTTTTGGAGCAGTCATTGGGTTTCCTCTTTTTCTCTCTTGCCCAGCAGCAGCAGTCATTGAGATGCCTTTGCCAATTCGGTAATGGCTTATGACATGGCGGAGGATGTACTTCGGTTATGAGTCTTTGGTTGGGCAACCAGTTTTCCAAGAATTCATATCAAATGGGAAGCAAAGATTTCTTTCTTTTCCCGGAAATCAACGCTAATTAAAAAGTATTGTTCTTAGGGAAGCAGTTATTACTATTTCTGTTAGTTATATGGAAAATTATATTAAGAAATGGTTGTTATATGTTAATCCACAGATTGACCTGCTTATTGAAGTCAAATTTCATTTTAACACTTGATCCAACAATTGCTGACTCTATTTACCAACTAAAACAGGCGAAAGAAACTTCATTAAAATGCACAAAAAATGGCTGGCCAACTCAGCTCGTGTCGAGAGCTCTGCTTAAAATGTTGAAAATGGCATCGTTACGCTCGCATGCACTTCAGTACACCCACACTCCCACCCTTACACACACACACACTCTCATAGAGAGGGGAAGCTTTTGGCATTGTGTTAACAAATACACTTAGGCAAACAC